CAGCTGCCAAAGATATTAGACAGTTGGGGAAACTTGAATAAGCACTGGTTTACTTTTTTTACAGGACGAATAAAAACATTTTATCTGTGTGTGAACGAAAATATTGCAAACCATATCAGATAACTTGATGGCTGAGCCATCAAGTTATCAGCCGCTGCAGCCACCCCCTACAGTGAGGACAGGCCTGCAGCCCAGCCTCTGCAGCCCCTCACAGTGATGAACTCTGTGGGGACTTAATAAGAAAGGACAGGATCCTGGCCCTAGATAGCTAGGTGCTTGTCAAAGGAATGAATTCAACGAGCCCAAATATTTGCTCCCTTCCATACATAGAAAAGAGCTAAATTCTTAAACTTGAGCTGTCTGGTTTTCTTCAGTTAACAAGTAATCTTTCAATGTTCCAACTACCTGGTCTTTGCTGTAAAACTCCTATATATCCTGGCTCCTCCCCTGCCTCTTCTGACCAGTCCCTCAGAGCGATCTGAGACGGTGTCATGCCGAGGCTCAAAGGGGTTCGAGTCCTCAGAAATGTCTGTCCAATAAAACATAACTCTAAACTTTTACTCTGTGTAGCTATTTCAGTCGACATGTGTATTCAGAATCACACACAAGTTACCTTTACAGTTCAGCTTACTAAATAGAAATCATTTACGCTTTATATTTTCAGTTAAATTCTAAGCTGAGATTACATTATTTTTTAAAAAGATTGTTACATTAATTCAGTACTTTTTTAGCATACCAAATGGAAATATGCAAGTTCAAACTTCAAATTGATAGCAATCTTCAAATACAATAAAGACATCATTTAAAGTTCACCGTATCATTCATATGTCGTACTTGCAACTCTCAGCTGTAATATACGGAGTAACTCTCCTATAAATTCGGCAAAATTGACATGCCATGAAGCTCAAAGTTGTACAGTCAAGCCAAGGACTCAAAGTTGTATCATATTTTAAAAGATTTGGCATTTCTGGATCAAAAAGCACCATGTAAAAAGGTTGGGAACAATTCCTCCTCCAATTCATTATTGTTAAAAAAAAAGTTGCATGGTAACTTGGAATTTTGCATAGAACTCCACATTATACCTTGGAAAACACCAAGGGTAATTTGATGACAATGGATTGGAGTTCTAATTTTTTTTTTATTAATAGAACCCATAAAATTCAAATAGGAAACTTGTCAAATCAAAAATATTAAGTGCCTACTGCGTTAGGAGATTGAAATTTATTAGAGACTCATGATCAGTTTCTTTCCACCTTGAAAGCAAGGTGTCAAAAACCAGCTATTAATGCACTGGGTTACTCTGAAATGTAAAACCAATAGTGAAATCACAATAGGGAAAACAGAGATTTTATACAGACCGCAGTGAAGTATTTAGGATTAAAATTATGTCTTTGTAAATTTATTTAATAAATTTTCAGGAAAAGCAATTAGAGTAAATAGGGCAAAATGTTAAGTTTTTACATTGAGGAAACGATAGATAAATGCATGTTTCACCATTTTTCTGAGTTGTTAAAAATTTTGCAGGACAAAGTGAAAAGGGGTGGGGGAGGGAGATAAGGGTACTACCCCATCTGCGTAGATTTAAAATTCAAACCAGCATCTCCATTAAGTGAATAAACGTAATTACCTGCCCTTCTTAAAAAAATTTAAATGCGATTGATATTTATATGTTGATACTGTACTCTGCAACTTTGGTAAGATCTTTTATTAGCTCTAATCATTCTTCTGTTTGTGGATTCCTTAGGACTTTCTATATATAGGATCAAGTTATCAGTGAATTTACTTCCTCCTTTCCAATGTGAATGCCCTTTATGTCTTTTTCTTATCCAATTATACTGTCTAGAATTTCCAGTACAATGTTGAATAGCAGTAGCAAAATCAGGCATCCTTGTCTTGCTCTTGATCTTAAGGGGAAAATCTTTCAGCCTTTGAGTGTGATGTTAGTGACAGGTTTTTATCTTTTTATCTTTATCACATTGAGGATGTTGCCTTTTATTCCTAGTTTGCTGATTTTTTTTTATCATGATAGGATGTTGAATTTTGTCAAATGCTCTGTGTCAATTGACCTGATCATGTGTTTTTTTTTCTTTGTTCTAATAATGTGGTATATATTATGTTGATTGATTTTCTTTTGTTGAGCCACCCTTCAGTTCTTGGGATAAATTCCACTTGGTTATGGTGTATAAAATCCTCTGAGTATGCTGTAAAATTTAGCTTGTTAGTATTTTGTTGAGGATTTTTGCATCTATACTCATAAGGGGTAGTGGACTGTAATTTTCTTTTCATGAAGTGTCTTTGTCTGGTTTTGGTATCAGGGTAAGGCTGGCTTCATAGAATGAATTAGGAAGCATTTTTGGAAGAGTTTGTGAAGGGTTCACATTAATTATTTAAATGTTTGGTGGAATCCTCCAGGGATGTCAACTGGTCCCAGACTTTTTTGGGAGATTTTTGATTACTGATTCAATCTCCTTACTTGTTACAGTTCTGTTCAGATTCTTCCATTTCTTTGTATGTTTCTAGAAATGTGTCCATTTCATCTAGGTTATCCAATTTGTTAGTGTACATTGTTTACAGTGGTCTCTTAGAATCCCTTTTATATCTGTAAGCTTGGAAGGAATGTCCCCACATTCATTCTGATATTAGTTACTTGCATCTTCTCTCACTTTTTTCTTAGTCTAGCCAAAGTTTGCCAGTTTGATCTTTTTGAAGGATCAACTTTTGATTTCATCAATTCTGTCTTATTTTTTATTCTCTATTTCATCTATCTCCACTCTAACGTTTATTATTCCCTTTCTTCTTCCAGTTTTGGGTTTGGTTTTCTCTTCTTTGTCTAGTTCCTTAAAATGTAACATTGAGTTATTGATTTGTAATCTACAGCTATTGTAATTTACAGCTATAAATTTTCTGCTGAGCACTGCTTTCACTACTTCCCATCAGTTTCAGTATGCTGTGTTTTGTGTTCCTTCGTCTCAAAATACTTTCCAGTATTTCTTTGATGTCTCCTTTGACCCACAAAATTGTTTAAAAGTTTGCTGTTGCATTCCTGTTATTCACTTTTCAGGGTCCTTAGATGGCTGGCTGTGT